GGGGGGACACAGTAGTACAATGACTGTGCGCGTTAGCTATCACGGCTACCGAGGAACAGTTACTCGTTCTTTCTTGGTATATTTCTTTAAAATTTCTGATGTATAGGGTAAAACCTCGTTATACTGCCAGCATGTGTCCAGCGAAATTATGGCACGATCAATTATATATATGACTTGCAGATTTCATGCATTCTGATTGGCTTTGACCTGCCATGTACACAAAAATAGTATAAAACGGGGATTCCCCAGACATTTCTGGTTGAAATAATCTTTTAAGCAGATTTTTGAAAACCTTTGTTTATTTTTATTTCAAGTATCACTTTCTTATCCGTACAGTTAATTTAGTTTTCAGTTTTAACGACTGTGATCATATTCAGGTGGAAATAGAGAATTAAAATTGTATATGGTCCATTGGACTCAGATAGAGCCTTACGTATTTGGTCTTGGACATTGAAGTGTTGTATAATAAAATAAAAAAAATGGGTTGAAAACATAAATCTGCTTCGGGTAGAAAACATAATCGTATTGGTCTCAGTGCTTGATAATTGTATATAAAAAGGGGGTTGGAAATACTTTGATGTATACATATGAAAAGTGAAAGGGACCTTGAGATTCATTTGCGGTAAGCGGGATGGCAACTGAAACTATGGACATTATATCGAGGTTTTACCGTTTCATCTAAATGAACCGCCTTCATCATAAATTAAGAACACTTACATTTTAGTTTGGTTGTAATGAAACAATCATCAAAGACTGACCTAAAAGAAAAAAAAGGAAAACGAATCTAATTCGGCCACGCTTCGTTTAATACCCGATCACAGATGTGTTCGATTCTATGAGCCCCCTCATCTCGATTAGGAAATTGCTTATCCAGACTGCTCCCTTTATCTTTTGTTTGGTCAGGTTGCTTTCTGTCCAACACTTTGAAGTTTTCTCAGTGTGATTCGTCGATTTGATCGTCATTTCGCTCATTATACCCTTATAGGCAGAGCCGAATCGACAGCGATTTATTATCAATTCGTACATATTTTACACCTTAATGTACATACGTACGTGTAACCGGGCATTTGTCTGATGAAGGTGACATCACACTTGTCATCGAAATTTCACACAAAAACATTTCACTTGTTGTGCTAGATGAACCTGTATACACTTTATGCCAATCAATCCGAGGAAAATGATTAGATAAGTACACTAAAACAAAAGTAAAAGGGAAAAAACCCGTCAGTTCCAAATGAGACTGATCTACAACAGTTTACATTTCTATCTATTGAAATTACTTTCAATTTTAACTCTGTCATGCACCCTGAATTGCATGGGTTAAAAAGTATCATTCTGAGATTGTAAAAAAAAAAAAGTCTTTAAGTTTATGTGCTTTTTCTTCAATGACGTCACAATTACTATTAAAACGTCATCGAGTTATATAGACATTTTAAAATGTAAGCTTCAATGGACGCGTCCCCAGATGGTTTAGATTAAATGGGGATGGGATGGTTGTAGATTCTTCCTTGATATCAGCATAGATCCAAACACACCTAAATTTACTGCTAAGATTATCAAGTCCCTGTGCTTAAACAGTGTTAACAAACCATGACTAAGTTATGTCACATCTTTATTAAGGATCCCCGTACCTCTGCCAAAAAAGGGTTCCTAAGATTTGGAAATGGAAATAGTTTCCATATGACTATATCTTTTATAACAGTAAACAATACCGTGCGGAACTTTTATGAAAAAAAATCCTAAAGATAAAATAAAAAGAAACATTATCTTCATTAATGTCTGAGTGTAAAAATAAAATAGGCAGGGCTAGACCGGGATTCGAACCCTGGACCTCAGATGTTCATACTGACTTTCTGACCTATTGAGCTACCTGGTCAATGGAAGTGTCCTGACCCGGTAACTGTGCTACAGTTATATCCAAAACGAACTTATCGGGGAGGCTACTAGATATGAAAAAAATCCGTTCAGTTAATCATGTTTTTTCAACAAGGTAAAGACCATTTTTGGATTGTAACGATTAAAGTTATACGTTCAGTTATTACGTGTGTATGAAAACATCAATGATGTAAAAAATTCTTTAATGCATCGTTCGGTTTGGAAATTTAATATATCTGATTGGGGCAGTTCAGCCATGAATCTTCATGAAAGATCCAAGACCCCATTGTAATCAAATTCTATCAGCTTAATGACGTATTTAAGTAAAAAGGTGATCACTGATGGGTTTTTTTTTTGTTTTTTTTAAATTAAAACTTAAATATATACTCATTGAGATTCTAAATGACCCCAAGAAGGAAATAACTACAATCAACTTCTTTTTGCAATTTAATTCGGGAAAAAAATAAAATTAATTTTGACAAATTATTGATTCAATAAGGCTTAATACAACTGTGTTCTGAAGTTCAGGAGTAAGTTGACTAAACATCGCGTCATGTTTTGTAACAAGTAGTATCTTTAGTTATATTGTTATTGAAGCCACTCCCTGTTTGAAATATAAATTAATTCACCGTACGGTTTCGTGTCAACAAAGCATGTTTGTAATTCTCCGTATTTCCCATGACATTTAAAACTTAATTTGGGTAAAAGAAATTAAGTCAAAAAAGTTTTTCATTATACTTAGCAGAATAAAGTATTAACTCATTCTAATCGAATAAATATAATCCAACAGATCGATGAAAACATGAATGAATGTATGAATGATCTTAATGACCTTGTGTGGGTAGCTTTTTAAATCAAGTGACGAGTTAGGGGATCGATACTGTAATACTCTAAGGCAATTAAATTTCAGCCATGCACAATACTATGTAGAAAGGGCCTTGATGGTCTCCAATTGAAACTAATCTATATAGATAGTAGATTTAATGCAATATTATGAAAATCCAAGCTATGCAAAAGAGAACTTAAGGGTCCATGGGTCATTGCTGGAAAAACACTAGATAATTCCGCTGTAGTTTCGTACGTAAGCATAACTTCCCGTCATTACATTTCGGATATAATTGTAGCGCAACTGCGCCAGGGTACTACCGATGGTGAAGTAAGTCGATTTGTTAGCGTGATAGTAAAATGATCGGAGGTTCAGGGTTCGATTCCTGGTCTAGCGCTTTTGCTGTTTATT